GGGGGTCATAGAGGTACTGAAATTTATTATTAGAAAATTATTAATAGAGGAATGTTTAAGGCATCTGTTCCTTGTTGCTCTTTTATAACATAGTTTACAATATTTACATTAACATTTCTGTTAAAATTACGCATATTGTGCATATCTACACGAGGCTTTAGGAGGTTACAGTCAATAAATGGTATGGTCATAAATTTTAGCCATATTGTTTACAATTGGGTAATAAATAAATCTGTAAATTTTCACTTTCAAACCTTCGGTCAAATTACCGGGTTTAAATCTGACCGCTAATTAGTACTTTAATCCGAACTTTACATTTTAAACTATTATTTGGGTCGGACATAGTGGCAGTTTGCCTGTGATTAAATGTTTCGAGGTGGTAAAGGGTTGTGTGGTTGCGTACGGTTAGAGGTGATTTATTTATGGGGAAAAACTGACACTTTCTCTTCTGTATTTTCGGCCGACTTCAAAAAAGGAGCAAATACTCAATTCGATTGTATTTTTTTGTGTGTATGTTACCTGATTACGATCTATGACGCCATCTATGACGATTCTTTTAGTTGGAAAGGGGGTAACTTCAGTAGTGGTTTTATTAAAATTTTAAGAAAATGCAAGCAAAGGCATTCCATAAGCATTCAATAATAAATTAAAAATACAGTAAATAGTGTCGTCTCTAGCCGGGGCTGGAAGCTATAAAGGTGTAAACTGGGTGACGAAATACTTTCATTCTAAATTCATATTTGTCACAGATGGCGCTACTGTTAAAAAGTCGTCGAAAAACCAAATACAAACATACGACAACAAGTACATAGAAAAATTCGTGAGGTCCGCTGGTTGATTTTTATTTCACTTGACTGTAGCGACTTCTCAGAGTAGTGACATTTCAGAATTGACACTACCGAGAACAGATTTTAATTATATTGCAGTAAAAACAGTTATAATTAAAATTCTGCGGGTTTTCGAAACGGCTCGGATAAAAGTTCGGAGGAAAGTTCTAACTAAGTAAGGAGTGAAGTTCTTTCTACCGTGTGATGACTTTCCGCCAATCACGGTTCCACCCTGTATGATGCCAATATAGTTCCACCCTATATGCGGAAGGTCTGGGCAGTTGTTCCCAAGAAGGGACTCGACTCCTGGAAACCGTTCTGCGAGGCGATGGTTTTCACCCTATATGAGCGTACGTCAACATCAGAAGGTCCGGGTAGCAGTTCCCAAGAAGAGACTCTACTACTGGTTAGCCTAACTGAGCTCTCAGTATTCTCCGATTTCTGTACACATAGATGTTTTTTTTGAAGGACACTTTGCAGTTGGCCTTGACTGCGCCACTGGAAGAAAAGGGCGAGCTGGAGACTCATAACCCGTAAAATAAACTACTAACTAAACTTAAAACTAAGTGGTGGGCCTGAGGGCGGCCAAGTGGGCACGGACCACGGCTCAGGGCGGTACGGAAGACTTCCGCCAGAAGGGCGTGCTGTGGGAGAGAACACGTAGATGAAATTGTGTTACAGTAGTCACCATTCGAGGGAAAATATTAATACCGCGATTCAGAAATAACGCCAAATGAGTCAATGCCATCTAGCGCATTCTTAGTGAACTAAAAGTATTTAATAGTACTTAATACATAAAGTAGGTGTGTTACAGTCGAGCAATTAGAAATAGTTCAGAAAATACGAACTGGCTACTTGTGTTTTCAATGCACACTTACACCAGTCGAGAAATCACTGTTACGTTTTTATAAACGACAAAAATATAGGGTAAAAATAAAATGTCACATCACATACACTGAAAGTTACTTTAAGGATACAATTATATAAATCTACCAAAACATTCGCCCTTTCGCGCGTCGGGTCCCAATGGACCTTTTCAATATTATGTCGAACATTTAGGGCTGCCTCTGAAGGTTGTCGTTATTTTTTATTTGATTAGATGAATAAAACAACCTACATTAAGTGGTTCATATATTTGAAAAAAAAAACCATTTAAAACTTCTGCGTTTCGGATGGGAATCGACATTCTGCTTAATGTAAGACAAAGTTTCGTAAGTGACATGCTCTGACAAAGTGTGAATTATTTCATTTATGTTACGTTGGCAACCCCGTTCGCAGCCATTAGTTGGTAATCCAACAGTGAATTGACCCAACCGAGTTATAGGGGACCCTAGGTGCGAAGATGACGATCGTGAACCCCTGCTATTGAGTTAGTTCAAGTACCTTTTTAGGTGAAGAGGTACTTTAGGGAATATGAGCAGGTAAGTAAGGCATCAAAGGGAAATGCAAAT